ATGTGTATTTTTTTCTTGCGAAAAAATAAAAAGCGAAATTTATTTTTCAAAACTTTTCTAAGCTTTATTTTATACAATGTAAACACCATCAATTCATATTAGCTCTCTGTTTCGTTTTCTCCAACTTTTTTGGTAATTTTGGTCTGTGTCTTGACTTTTATAATAATAGCAAAATAACAACTCTCATCAATTTAAAGTAGTTTAAGATAAAAACTGACTAGGTACTTCTCGAGTTTGAATTTTTACAAGAACTTTAAGTACTTCCTCCTCAACTGAAATCATAGAAGCAACAAAAAATACCGTAATTATGGTTTAAGGATAGATGGATATATTTCCAGATGTTTCTACTTTGACAGCTCTTTATAAACCAGTACTGGGTGTAATGTCGTACCACAACCAGTACTGGAATTTGGCCAGTTATTCAACTTAACTTTGTTTGACTCCAATTTGCAATATCGAAGATTTTGTATTTGAGTAATGCGTTATTTTGATAGATTCAAAATAAATCTTGCTTTGTCTTAGAAGTATTTTTGGTTCAAGTCAAAGCCACTGTTACTTCGAATTTTTTAAGCAATTTACTATGAGTACAGATCAAATATATTTGTTCAATGATAACTTGGTAATCAATGTAAAACTTCAGTTTCTGCTGTGAAAAACCAAATTTTCTCAGCAATTGCTAACGACTTTTTACCCATTAATTTTATTTTCAATTTATAATTATTGTATTGTATTTTCAAAATGATTTTCATTCGCCAATTAATTTTGGCAAAATGATTATTATCCGGTAAAATTTTTTATTTTTTGGTAAATCGAGAGCTAAAACTTGAGTTAATCACTCTATACTTTTTGAGTTTAAAAATTACTTTCATTCTGCATTTTATAAAATCTATTTCGCTGTTATTTTGAAACTTATCTGAACTCCAGCTTGTTCTCCAAGTGCTATTTCCACAATATTCTGTTGTGTTCGAATTCGTTATAACCCTTCGCCATAATTGATATTTGTTGATTCAAGTATCTATATTTTGTTCAAAATAACTTTAGTTTAATTCAAGAAAACAAAAGTTTAACTTTAATATTATAATTAAACTATTGATGGATGGAGAACCTTATTAATTGGTCAAGTAGTCTAAGTTGTGCACTGGTATCATACGACAGTATTCAGCAAATGAGTTCGTTGTCCTACAATAAGCATAGGGAATTGATGAACCCGACTATCTCCAACTTTGTATAAACAGATGAAATAATTGAAATAGTTGAGAATGTTTTTAAGACTACAATTTTTTATTTATTGTTACAGGCAATCTCAGATCAAAATATACTGAATGAAATTACTCATAAATAGTCTTCACCAATGAATTTTGATCGATTGCCAATTTTGCTCAGTTTTCTACTTGTATACGTGTCTCAATTTACTGCTATTTGTGCAAATGAGACAAAGCCAAAAGAAATTACTCATAACATTTGGCTTAATAATCATGATACTGTCTCTGGAAATCGTAATTCTGAGCAATCTCTCGTGAGAAGCAAAAGTGCAGCAGCGTCGAAAGAAGTAGAGGAATTAGTAGCTCATGAGGGTTTTATTTTAGCTACTCTTAAAGAACAAAAGAAATTTTCGAACAGTCTTGAAAGGACTACTGCTGACTTTCAGAAAAATCGGAATGAGAAAACCCAAGTGAACGAAAATCGAAAAGTTTTATCTGATTCTGCAATAAGCCTTCAACATATTGCCTCTACTGAAAGTGATGGCAAATACTTTGATCACCGCATGTTCAAGACTTCGTCCAGATCAGGCACTATTCGGAAAAAACGAAATAATGACCACACAGTCATGACTAGAAATAATCATTTGACAAATAATGGCGAAACACTTTTGACTGATTCATCGAAAAATGTTCATTCAGGAAACGATGATATATCCTCCGAAGATGGAATCAAATCTCAGGAATATTCAATTTTTGATGAAACTGATGGAAGTGGTGGTATTAACGAGGACCAGTTTCATATACCATTAGAAAATATTGTTGTTGTTGGAGGTGATGTAGACGAAAATGAGCATAATGGAGACGGAGATGAAGAAATGTTTTCTGAAAATAACTATGAATTTCCAACAGAAAATACTGAAGTTACAGATAATGGTGGTTATAGAAAATTTAGTTTGACATCACAAGAAAATGACCAAAATGTAGATGTTGAAGTGATTCGCATTGCTCCTGCACTTTTGCCACGAAATGAAGGATCAGATGAAAATGATGAACCGAAACCTGGCAAAATTATTTTGGAAAAGCTACCACTTGGCCGGGAAACGAATGTCACACCAGGAATCGCCAAAGAATTGGCTGATCTGAATGAAGTCCTGACTGATGCAAAGAAATCAAAGCAAGCATCAAAAGATGAAAGCAGCAAGAGTTGGGGTTCAGAAACGTGGAGAAAATCATATTCAATGCATGATGAAGAGATTGATTTGGTGAGAATTATTGATATTTTCATTTTTAGTACAAAATGTTGTAGGGAGCAATACAAGAGATGAGAATTTCGGATGATCCGAATGATGCTGCTATTGCATGCGATGATGAGACTGTAAGTTTGTTTTTTGCTTTACTAACACGCAAAATATGCTTAATTTTAAAACAGCTTGCATACAGTACCAATCCATTTCCATTTCACTCACTTTTCATTACTACACTTTATGTCTTGATAATTGTAAATCGCTTGCAAAAACCTTCCTTAATTTTTAAACTGCAAAAATTTATGCACTCAATCAGAATTATGCTAGTATTCAAACTAGGACAGCTTTGAATTCTTCCAAAGTATGAAATTAAGATCAAAATGTCTGCAGACGTTGTGCTTACTAGCTTCTAGCATTGGTACTGAGTGCAGCTTAAAAAGTATAACAAACTTTATTATTCAGTAGCTGGAATGAGTTATTTTTTAGTGTCCATAATCTAATAATGTATTTGTTACCGGCACTTATAACATGGTTTTATTTTTGCTATACGCACAATAATTCAAAATCTTTATTGCAACTTGTGACAATCATTCAAAGATTGAATACTTTTGATTTAGTGGAAAAGGCGTAAAATGAAATCGCTAAAGGTAAAGTGTTCGATTTCAAAGTTACTCTTCTAGAATTTGTTGCTGCTTTGGAATTTATGTTCCCAATAAATATTGCCTCTTTTTGTTTCTTTACAAATCTTTTACAGAGAACTTCACTGAAAGTAATCTGCTTGCTTTTGTGTTGTGATTAATTTTTAAAGTCGATACCATTCTGTTCATTTCTCACAGTAAAATTTATAAATAATCACAATCACATCAGAAATTATTTGATAAATGTTGATGGCATTTATTTGAAATAGTGGTTAGATGTTTTAGTGCTTACTGCATGTCCGTTTTCTTACCTTCTTAGTCCTTTATATATATAAAGCTTGATTGAAACTACTAATCTATATTTGAATATAAATTTGAGGAAGGTAGTGGTTCTGAACAAGAGGAAGAAGAAGAAAAAGATAATGATGATGTTCAAGCTAGAAAACTTCTAGAGGATGGTTTGTCACTTACTTTTGCATTTACAGAAAACTTAATTTTATTCTAACAACAAGATGGTGTTGTCAAAAATCTGCTTAACATGATATTTAAAAAAAAGGTAATTACTGAAGCCACTAGACAAAAGAACTTTTATTTTTTTTAAATATTTTTTTTATGTCAAAACATTTGAAAGATTTAAAAGTAGTTCAAATAAGTTTATAAATTTTTTTGGCCTTGGGAACTTCGTTTTCAGTGATCATAACAATGCTGACATATGAACTTTATTAATTCTTACATTATTTTCCGTGATCAATTTTATTAATTTTTTATTCACGTCCATTTGTTTTTTACTGACAATAAATAATGGATAAACTTAAATACTTTTTCACATGGTAGCAAGCAGTAGACTGCACAAAAACTTCTAAATACTGATGTTACTATTATAGCTAATCAAAGCGTCAAAGATTTTAATATTTTTGCAGAAAAAGGGGAAGAAGCCGTTATTAGCAAAGCAACAACTATTCCACCACCGCTACCTTTTATTCACACTCCTCCGAAGTATTCTCATGGTAAGGTAACCTTAGTATCTTGTATTATTAATTTCTGAATATTTTAAAAACTGAATCATAATCATTTTTCTCTCCTTTTTATATAACTATAAATTCAGCTTTTGTTTAGATTTCAAATGATTTATGTTCACTGATTTTGATTACTGATTTTTGGAAAATTTTTAGAATTTTATAGGGGGATGGAGTGGCTAAAAAGTTATCAAGTGATTATCTGAAAGTAAACTTAAGTGATTGATTGAATTTTTGACGTGCATTCGCAATTTTGTTATCAAAGGTATCAAATTCATGGACAGGGCAATTCTTACTCTTGAAATTTCTGTTCAACTTAATTTCAGATGATTATCTCATTAGTTCTCCTTTCTCCCCTTCTTCATCGTCTACTCACAATAATCAAGACTTTATTGTTGGAGAGCATACTGATAGTTTAATTTTACCATTCTATGCCGCTAGCAAGGCTGGACGAAATCTTTTGCCCAATTGGGTGAAACTGTTGGAGAGCTATCATGACATACCACAAGTCCCGGAGTCATGGGATAACCACGGGCGTCGTACTGGGGGTTGGCATTTAAGTAGTGGGCTAATGCCTAGAAACGTGACTGCATGCTTGCCTGCATGCCATGCAATAATTTTTGAAGCTTGTTTTCTGTTCATTGCATTGCCATCTTAGATGTAAATGATTTTTCTTCCTTTACATTTGAAGCACGAAAAATTCTACAATAATCTATCTCTAAATTCTTCAGTTATCATTATAAGTGCTTTGTCATATAAATAAATTGCCAAAACATTTTTTGATCGAAGTTATTTTCTCAAAGTCACAAATTCACGTTATTCGTTAGATGGAATACTGTTTTGAGTAATGCATCTCTGAAACAATTTTTGCATAGTTTCGTAATGTTCGTTAATATATATATGTATTTTGTATTGAGTGAACAAAGTCATTGGAACGGTGGCATTGCGGTGCTACTTGGAACCTTTGCTTCAGAGTCATATAAGGCTCAAATGGTTCACATTCAGTTTTTTAATGATTTGCATAAGCTGAGTAGTGGGAATGATTTAATAAAAACTTTAGTTTTGCAATGAGTAACTAATATTTGCTTAACAGCTCTTAACAAGTGATTTCAGTGAAAGTGGAAAAAGGTGTAAAAGGTGATAAGGGCGATCGAGGTCCACCAGGATTGCCGGGACTTCCGGGTCCGGAAGGACCCCCTGGAACGGTTCGTCAACATTTCATTGTAAATGAAGTACCACTAACTTGGGGAAATTTGTATTGATATTTGATTTTAGTGTCCAATCGAGTGTAAGCAAGCACGTGATGGACGTGATGGTGCTCCAGGAGCACCAGGAGATATAGGACCAATGGGACCACCTGGTCCTCAAGGACCTCCTGGACCACCAGCTCATGTAATAAAAGATAGACTAGAAGGAGCAGAAACAATTATAGGTCCTGAAGGACCGCAAGGACCACCTGGGCCTATGGGTTTCTTTTTATTGCTCATTTCTGTGTTCGTCGTCGGATCTCTTATCCTAAATATAATAAAAAATATTGCAGGACCAAGAGGGCCTCCAGGACCACCAGGGATCGGGGAACCTGGATATCCAGGAGCTCCAGGAAGTCCCGGTCGTTGTGAAAGATTACATCCTTCAGATATTGAACGAATCATCCGTGATCCTCGGATTAAGGTTACGTCCATGTTTCATCTCTATTTTTCTCCATAAAAGTTACCTTTTAAAGTTTGAGATATTTTTCGTGCAGTAAATCATAAAAAAATTACAGGGTGAAAAAGGTGATGACTGCCTACCTGAGTCTTCGTTTCATCGCTCACATCATACTACCGAATTGCCTCCATATGACCCTCACCGACACCGTTACACTTTGAAAGGCGAAAAAGGTTAGTGAAAAATGAACTGTATGCAAATGAAATTGACTTTTTATTGGTCAAAGTGTGTTTTTGACTGTAATGTTGAAAAATTTCTACATCAAATAAATTTGATATTACATGCTATATGCTTTTTACATTATTAAAAAATATGAAATCTGTAAGCGAGATTAAGTTGGATCAATTATATTTTGTTTCGTAGGTGAGCGAGGTGAAGCAGGAATAATGGGCCCGATGGGATATCCTGGGCCACCAGGTCCTCCCGGACCAGCTGGACCCACAGGATCACCTGGAATACCATCAGCACCTGTTCACCCTCAGTCGTACCCCAAACCGGCACATATTGCACCTGGAGGGGTAAGAACATTTTGTGTTTCATAATACAATGAAAATCTGAAAAAGTAAATTGTTGGTCAAACCCCAATGAACTGAGCAATTTCTAACAATAAATGCATGTTACACTCCACAATTATACGAACATCAAATAATTATTTTGAAACAATTGTATTCAGTCAAATTGCTTATGCAATAATTTTTCCGTTGCAAAGTGTTGAAGCTGCGTATATGAGTAAATTGACATAATGTACTTCAGGTTCAAGTATATCCAACAACTATTGAATTGTTTACAGCATCTCAAGGTATGCCCTTAGGTTCCTTGACCTTTTCCATATCAAGTCAGCAGCTGTTTATTCGTGTAAGCGGTGGTTTTAAGGATATCAAAGTAAGTTTTTCTAATTTTTGTGCCTTTCAAAATGACTACATGATTTTCCAGTCAAAAAGCAACATTATGAATAAATTATTAGCTATTACTGTAATTACTAAGTCCAATAACTGCTTTCTGAAAAAGTGTCTTTTCATTGCAGTTGGAAAGTTTCCACCCTGTTCTCGAGCATCGCCCATCAGTCGTAAGTTACTTCACATTTCTGCTATTTTTGGATGAATTTTTTGGTTATGCAAAAAGCAATATTTGTAGAGGAGGCGACTGACCTTCAACCAATTCACATTTAGCTGTGAAATTATCCATAAGGATTTGAAATATTTTTCTCTAACTTTCGTCAATGCAAAACATTTCTCTTGTTTGACTAGCAAACAGCAAGTTAACCCTTTGACCTATGTAATTTAAGTCTTTAAATTTTTCCTGTCTTCTGTTATTACTCTTACTCAGCTTTAATCATTTGCATCAATTATTGTCAAGTATTAAACGATTCTGCGGCTTTTGACAATTCAATGACTTAAAACTCAGACTCATTAATGAATAATTTTACTGGCTTTACTTCACTTTACTTACGTCTTAGACTTAACACTGAATGACTTCTGCTTTTTCCAAGACAAAATCTTTGAAGGCAAATTCAACAATATTAATAATGGAGTCTAGCAGTGATGATTCAAAAACTTAAATTGAACTTAAATGTAATTTGACCATTCAGGAAATTGAATTTGAATCACCAAATGAAAATTATGTACGGTATTGGGTAAGTTTGTCATTCTCGAATAGATGTCAAAGTTCTATTTTTTTACCCGCATATTAAAGCTATATGTGATATTGTGATGCTGGCGTTCGGAACGTTATTTGTACCCTAAATTTTTGTTTTCCTTTTTTTCTAGTTGTAGAAATTTTGCTTGAATCTTTGTTTCTTCAAAAATTTATTTATTCAATATGTTTTTACAGATTTAGACTTCAATAATATACTTACATATTTTTCATGACTAAACGTTGAGTTCTTCTCTACTGGAAAAAATTCAAGCTTTTCTATGATTAAAACTGAATTTATTTTTATTTTTCTTGAAGCTCCAAAACGAAGATGTAAGTTTGCATGCTTCATGTGCCAAAAACCGATAGCTGTGATAAATGTGTATCGAATCTTGATATCGTTTATATGTGATGTATGATTAATATTCTAGCAATACTACTATTTACTATAACACGAGATTAACTGTTTGTTTCTATAGATTAAGGAGTAGACATGCAAAAATTTGTAGCTAAGAATTTATGCTTTAACCTCGATGAACACAGCTGCAGTAGTTACATTTTTTCATTTTTGATCACATTATCAGCTCTCTAAAAATTTTCACTTAGAGCAACACTTGAGAAAGAATGAAAAATGATTTTTGGGTCTGAAATCTCTCATTAAGTAAGTAATAGTCCAAAAATTCATTTGTTTCACTGATACGGCTAAATTATGTGTGGTGAGTGAAAAAATCAGAGAATAAAACACGACCGACCGTACAGTGATATTAATTTCATTGCTAAGAATACACACATGTGACGGTGAAATAGATTTGATCTAGCTCGCGCTTTTACAACTTTTGCCTGCTCTCAGAGTAATGATTTGAATTCTTTATACAATTATCGGACTTCCAGGAATCAAATGAGACTAGAATTTAGATCAATACAATAAATATGAAGCACAAAAACGATTCGCTTACTAAGTTAGCTATCAAAAATTTTTATTAACTTCTTCAACAATATAGTAATTTAATTATTTAATAGTGAGCAAAAGTAAGTGAATGAAGCATGAAGAAAAATTTTTCCTTCAGTTGATACACAAATCTTTTTAGATGAAAAGTTTACATATAATGAAAAAATTTGAGGATTTTTTTCATCAATTTCTTGAAACTTTCTTGAAAATTAAAGATTTGTATACTAATTGAAGGAAAATATCAGCAACTTTTTCTTTTTCATTGGTCTAAAATATTTTATTGACGCATTTTTTAATTTCACAATCAAATATAATTATAAGAAGTGCCAGAAATGTATCAAGAATTGCTTGAATTAGATCATAAAATAAGTTTTGGACTACTGGCAATGCCCAAAAATCGCTCGTTTATCACAATAAATCTTCTGATAGACTGCTATTTAATGGGTATTTTTAATTTTTTAGTAACCAAATCACATTCACAATGAGCGAAAGTAAATTTGAAAAATTTTATTGTTGTCATTTTGGTTTAAATTTCAACCTTCGCTTGCTTCAAATTTTAATAAATAAAAGCTTCAAGAGCACTGTGATTACTGCAATCTTTCGTACACGCTATATCAAACATAAAATAAGCTGCCGAGCCTATCACTGCATTTTTCCCTGTATTTTACAGCACTCATTTGTTCTTGTCGTCAATATTGTTGCTTTATTAATTTTTCTATAAAGTCACTGCATTTTGCTGCCAAGTATTGTTTAGTTGCATCAAACTGCTATGCACTTCAAAATTTTAGGCAGACTCTCAGCCGTCAAGTTTACAAGGTCAGGTATCTTTGGTACCTACCGATGGTGTAAAGGAATCAAAAACACTGGAAATACCACATCTTAGGATTGCTGTGGGTAAGGACTTATCTCGTCACAAGGAAGTTCATGCACCATCAGAACATGCAACATCATTTGAAGGAGATATGTTCCATCGAGCGCAAGCATCCAAAACTTCGCTACCACCACCTGATTACCACCATCCTGATCAACGAAAGCCACTAATATCACCGGAAATCACACTAACAACATATCCATCACAACAGTATCCATCAATAGATTATTTCTCTCCTACTTCGGCTGAGCAATATCAAGCAAAAGATGTTAGATTGTCTAAATATGAAAGGCCGCAATATACTGATTACTGGGGAAGACCGAAAAACCGCATCGGTGTTACTGACATCACAGTACCGATTCAACGACCGATCACTCCATCACCGTATAAGGTGACAAAATTGCAATAATCAACTAAGTTTAATTCACAGTGTTTAAGAACAAGAAAGCAGTCTGAAAATCTTTTCGTAATATTTAATACGCATAAAATATCTTAAATTAATTTGATTTACCGTTGGTCAATAATGCTGAAAATGTTCAATTATCAAGCAATTAATTAGTTATTAGATATTAAACAGTCTCCAATATCGTTTAAAATTTTAAATTAATTCAAAAAGTATATTTTTTCACCAATAATCTGAGTATTACAATGTGCAGAGTCACATAGAATTTTAATAAAATTAGTATGCCTTTGCATGGAATTTGGCCAATGTAATGCAAGTAAAATTCGTATATTGTAAATACCATTCAGATCCCAAAAATCTATTACATTTCTTTGTTTGTTAGTTTTTAAGTGCAAGCACTGACCGAATTGATTATGCATGTTTTTCTTGGCATGGCTCTGCTCACTTGGCACTGGACAGCTTAATATTGCACCATTAAAGTCGTCATTATAATATGTGTATTTTGATCAAATTTTCATGCTCACCAATTTCGATAAATTATTCTAGAAAGGTATCAGTAAGGTGAAAAAATGTATAAAACTTAATTAGGGGCAAATTGATTTAACAGGCAACTCATCGACCACGACACCCAGATCGCGAAGATCAACGATATCGAGAACGAGCGGAACCAGATCGCAGGCATCCTGGTTTCTTGCCACATAGTCTCCAGGCAAAAGATCTTGTCGTACGTCTTTTATGTGGAAATTTTTTCTTCACATAATGATATATTATTAAAACTACTAATCGTATATTTCAGCAAATACTTATATAAAAATAATTGAACTTGCTGTTTTTAGCTTCACTTGATAGCATTAAATGCTCCAATAAATGGGAACATGCGTGGCATACGAGGAGCTGACCTAGCGTGTTATCAGGAAGCTCGTCAAGCTAACTTCCGTACAACTTTCCGAGCATTCCTTTCATCTCATGTACAGGTAAAACTCAAGTTTCTAGCAGTTTCAGTCTATTTCATACACAGGTAAACAGTTTTTAGATAAAAAAAGTCTCTAATTTTAAAGGCTTTATGCACAAATTCTCAAGTAATTGCGTAAATCATTTAAAAATTATGAAAATATTTTCAGGATTTGAATAAGGTAGTACATAATGGGGATAGAGATACGCCCGTGGTAAATCTTCGTGGTGAACGGATATTCAATTCATGGAGCGAAATATTCGAACAGCAACGAATGGCAGATGTTCCTATTTATTCATTCAATCGTCGGAATGTCTTCATTCACTCCGCTTGGTTAATTAATTATTAAAAAAATCTTGGTCACTAATTATTCCAGAAAGTATTAAAACTTTACAAGCCTTTCAAGTCTTGCTTGACTAATCGAATTTATAAGTTAACAATGGTTGCTAATTTGCAGCATTTGTAGTTTCCTGTACAACAAGTAGTATTCTGGAATTTGTGATTATCTTCTGGTAGTTTTAGAATCATGTTGAGTAGTGTAGCAAGCAAGAATTTAAAAATACGATTTTTTTTCAGGCCTGAAAAACGTGTATGGCATGGATCAGACTCAAATGGAATGCGTAGTGAATCTGGTTATTGTGATGCTTGGAGATCAGATTCACCATCTCAGTTTGGCCGAGCATCATCTATCAGACGTGGTTTACCTTTGCTTAATGGAAGTCATGACGCTGAATGTTCACGAGAATTTATAGTTCTTTGCATTGAGGTCCTTTTTTTGCATGAATTCAAAACTTAAAAAATTTTAAATGCCCATCTTTTTGATGAAAAACTTATTGAATTAAGACCACAACAAAAACAGAAAATGGTTCCATACGTAATGGTAAATTTATTGTCTAGTGCTAGTTGAAAGGAAACCACTCAAAGAATCTGATTTTATAGCTAATAATTTATAGATCTGAAAAATGATCAGCCAGTTTTAATAAGCTAAAGTTAAATGATAACTTCGGCTTATTAAATATTTGCAATTGTAATTCAAAGTCATTTTCAAATTTTATCACCTTATTGATTTCTAATTCATTAGAATTCCTGAAGACAGATTGTACGTTGTATTACCTCAGTGAGTAACTTACTGAAGGTTTTTCAAATGTTCTAAAGAAAAAGGACCTTAAAATTCGAGCTTACTTAAACTTTTCAATAATTCTGTCCTATTTTGTCGTAACTTTTGAATGCTACAAATATGATTTCAAAATTTTTAAACAGTAAGAAGTTATAATTTTCTAAATTTAGGTCGCTTATTATACATATATATGTTGAATGGTAATTAGTATCCGATTATAATGGAGTAATTTTTAGAATATGAGTAAATACAACGTGGACAAACGACTAGGCAAAAAGCGAGCTCATTTCAATGCATAGAGCTTTGGAATCGAAACGCTTTTTAAAACGATTGTAGTTTGTCATATTTGATGATTAAAATTACATGTCGTATCGATTCTTATTTATAATTTATTTCATATTTTTATTACTTTAAACATTAATTTAAAGTGATAAATTTGTATTGTAAGTTCAAATTTTCAAATAACATTGCGCACTGCCACTTTAGCACATGATATATTGTTAACTCATTTTACTTTATACGCTTTTAAATTCATATTATGCAATGATGAAGAAAATATTTATCAAATATCACTATTAAGTGGAATTATGACCATTTTATGCATTTTTGTACTGTTATATTTACGTACACTAAGAGAGAATCCTAGAAAAAACTTAAATACTCCGTGTTACAAATTTCGTTGCAAATTGCTTGCACTCCTCCATTTTTCAAAAATCATAAGTATAAAACGACCAATATAAATTTGTGGAGCTTTAAATTTAAATTGAAAACTTTCAATGATGGTGAACAGCAAGATGTTTTCGAGCGATTTCTGTCAAGAGCTGCTCCAAATACAAAAAGTTTTCGATAGCAAAGTTTGGAGTCTAGTCTAAACAATTCCAAAATAAATTTGCTTATGCCAGAAACATGCTTTTGCTCTTATTTAACATATAGTTGGTAATTAATTCTTACAGAAATACAAATAATTTCAGTATTGTTCTCATTTTTTATTCCAAAGATTTTTGTCATTGTGCTAAACACAAAACATGTTCTCTTTTGATGTTTAACGTCTTGATTGTCATAAAAGTATTGCTACAAATCTTTTGAAGTACTTTAACATAGAAATTGATTTACTCGCTAATTGAGATGAAATTGACAAATGATTACTATTACTTGTAGTTTTTGCTGCAAAATAAATATTTAGCATGCTTCTGAAAGCAAAAAAATTGCTGCATTCATATCTTAGTTTGGAAAAATAGACTTGTGTGACCACAAAGTACTGCAAAGATTGTAACTGTGAACTTTGAAATTGGATATTTGTTCATTTGTTGCGCAGCCTTTTCAATTTTGATCAAATTATATACTTCGTTATTTCTATGACCATTTTGTTGCTTCTTGTAACAACGTCTTTTCCTACTGTTTCGATATATTTCAGCTTTTTGATCGATGCTTATGATTTAATATCAAATATTATAATAAAATGCTTGCTAAGATAAACTCGGATTCTTTAGCAGTGAAAAAGTCACATCAATGAAATAAAAAATGCTTAGAAATTTCATGACATTTTCGCTTCTAATTTGTCAATATTTCTGGCCTACCACGAAAGTGAGTGAGTGCATCGCGCAATTTCTTCAAAAAATATACGCGCTATATACTTTAAAAAACATGTAAGAATAACGTATGAAGTATTTAATTCTTATAATTCCTAGTACTTAAGTAATATTTAAAAGCAAATAGATCAAGACTTCTCATTAATAACTTTACTGAACTATTTTTCAAGAGTCTTTAGCATTTAAAAAAATTAGAAGTATAACTGTGTGGAGATATGTAAAAGAATATATATTCTGTGACAGACTCGTGATTTTGGAAGTCACATATGATTTCTTCGGAGTACATTTAGCTTTTATCTCTATTTTTGTTCTACCATATCCATGATAGCGACATTCTTATGACTATATCATGGAAATTAATGGCAACAGAACCATTGCGATCAGTTATAGCAATAAAAGCAATGGTATCAACCGTCAAGAATGTTAGACGATGGGAATGGTAGTGATGCTATGGTAAAATCCAGTAGTCAACCGAATCAGTTATCTAATGGCTGAAAATGCGTTTCTGAAAATTACCGATTTCATAAGTGATTCCAAAAAGTGAAAAGAAATAATGGACCCTTGCAATCCTTTGTTGTAGTACTTCTGAAGGAACAAAAACGAAGCAAGGGAAGAAGGGGAAGAAGAATAACACTCATGGAATGAATAGAGAGGAAGAAAAGACTGTTGCAAAACGAGCAAAACTTAAAAGAAGAAATGCTGTGTTCTCTTACAGCCTGGATATCAGGAGTCTGAGAAGAAAATGAATGGAGGATTAACGGAGAAAACCTAACTGGTATAATAGTAGCAAATAATGAGAAGACAGATGAGGTTATTAAAAGAAAGACCTAAAGGAGAGCATGAATCTCATATTTGCTTTTAAACGTGACTCTCATGATGTTCCGAGCATGCTGACAGAGTGTGTGAGTACTGAGTTTTGATGCAAATGCAGAGCCCAACCTCCTAAACTGCTTAAATCTGACGTTGTGTCAGATTTTGATGTTCTAGAGGGAACTCAAAAACAAGTGTCTGCCACAATTCAGGGGTAAAGGAATTAAGAGATGTGTAAGGGATGCGAGAAGACGGTGTAGCATCTGGTAACGCAATGCGACGAAATGCTTTATCATGATTGCTTAAGAAGGAATATAGACGTGCTGAGATGCATTAATCTAAACTCAGTAAGAAATATGGTCCGAAAGCATTCCCAAAAATGCCAAACTATTCCGTTCAAGTGATCGCCATGTGAAGATAAGAATCAATTCGCGAGTAAGAATAGCAATCAAAGTGCAGATCGACCTGATATCCTAGTGTACGATAAGAAGCAACCAGTTCTCCTGGAGGTTGGCATCATTAGTCATGACAGTTGACAGCAGTTGAGACCAAGAAAAGTCTAAGTATGATATACATGCTAATAAACAGGACAAAAATGAACTGGAGAACGAAAATAGTGTCTTATATTATATCATAAGTAGAGACGGCAAAAAACTTCATATGGGAAGGAAATCAATATATCTGACCTCGAACTGGCCTGAATCTAGTCGTTAATGCTCCAAAAGACGGTCGAATGCGTTTCTTTCGATCACAGCCGTGGATTCAAGGAGAAGAAAGCAACACAACAAAACTGAGCACAATGCGAGTGCAGTGCATGCCAGAGCACAATCTACCACCAGAATCAATAAAGATTGATCTCCATGGGACATTGACTTGATTTATATATTTATAGTTACTTATAGCTGAAAACACAATGCCATCTTAAAACTGATGTCAATTTCTATTGCTTACTTTTTCTGCAGAAACATAAATGAGCTTCAGCAGCACCAGTAGTCTTTTATTTTAACGACATAAACTTAATCTTGAAACTTTTAAACTCAATTCCTTACATAGATAAAAACTCGCAGTTTAAATAAAATACAACCTTCCGTTCACTTTTAACTGTCAAAGTACTTTAATTTAATTAAAATTTCACTGAATACAGAAATATGCTAATAAAATTAAAACAGACTAACTAAGTAATGGCTTGCTCACTCTCTTCGAGGGCAAAAATGCTGGACCTTTCGGAAATTTTTCACGATAATCAAAAATAAACGTCTATGAAAGCATGAAGTTGTCAAGAAAAAAACTATTTTGATTCATAAATATAAAAAAAATATTTCTGAGATAAAGTATAAATATTCATACGAAGAAATGTAATTCTGGGAGAAATAAACATATTTTTTGTAGTATCTACTGAACCAAAATGGCAGCAGGGTCAGGTAATACCTCATTAACATCCCTTATCATTACTGAAAGCTTTTCTCTGAAGCAGTGTGCCGTAACTAGCAGAACTGAGTGCGGGGCATGTACAAGTAAGTCTGATTGTGTTAATTAGTAGTAGGAAGTAGAAACAAGACGCTTCTATCTTTTAAGCATATTTTTCTAGTATGAGTCATGAGCCAAGTCACTTATAATTTTTCATAATTTAAGTAGTGATTGAGGTTTTGATGTTCTGACACCAAATATTTAAATGATTCCTCATTAACTTGAAGATTTATTCGTGCAAAAGAATTTTTGTGCGCAAAAATTAAACTCATTGTCCCCGAATGGCTTTGCCTTCGATGCTGAAACTTCTGCATAACTTTTTACTTCTGCCTGCGGTAAGAATTATTTACAAGATGAAAACGCTGAAATTTCAAGCAAAAAATCGAGATTTTTCAAATGAATGATTGGAAATTCTGAACACTCGTAATGTGCAGACTTTTCTAATGAAAAATGGAAGCTAAAGAATGCCATAAATTTAGAAACCAGCCAGCAATCTACGATATCAGACATAAAAATGTGATGATATCACTGATTTGTGACTAACGGGATAAAAAAACAAAGTTACTTCATAAAGCAAAAAAATTTTTTTAATTTTCAATTATTCACACTTTTGCAGTTTTAGGCTGAAAATCTTGCACTTATAAAAATATTAAATCATGCATAGTGATTAAATCGTGCACAGTGATTTGAATAAATTCTATAAACATCAATTTATCATACATAGTTTTGCGGGCTAAATTATTGCATCTAAAGCCGTAAATAATTTCGATTTATGAAAAAAAATGCATGTCAATAATTAAAAGTAGAATTAAC